CTTTTTCTTCATCTCTATTGTAATTCTCACCCTTATTGCTGTAGGGTTGGCACTAGAAGCTTTCTTGGGGCCCATGGTCACTTATTTTCCAGAAAAAGCACCGAAAACACTGTAATAATACGAAATATTCCGATTGTATGCTTGGATGTTACCGCGGAGGCTGGCTGGTAAACAATGCCACCGGCGGAACATGTGAGCGCGTCTCGGAAGAAAATCGGTAAGCGGGTTTTTAAGTGGTATGTGAGGCAAAATTTTTGCAATTAAAGTAAGCGGTATGCGAAATAATCGCTATGTGATGCCATCGTTATGCGGGGGTCCACTGTAGTTAGTTGTTGGGGTGTATCAGGGAGATAAGATGTTTTCTAACTGTAGTTTTGAAAGTGATGAGTGTCTGCAGTTCTAGAGTTTTCAGGTAGGGTGTTCCAGATTTTAAGTCCTTTGAAATACATTGAATATTTGTAAAGGTTTAGTTGGACATGGGGAATGTCATAGAGATGTTTGTGTCTGGTGTTATGCCTGTGGATCCTGTCACAACTATCAAGAAAGCTTTTTAGGTCAAGGTTAATATTGGAATTTAAGGTCCTGTAGATATAGATTGCACAGTAGTAAGTGTGGATGTTCTGAACAGGGAGTAAGTTTAGATCTATGAAGAGTGGGGGTGGGGGGGGTTGCCAGGGATGGGATTTAGAGATTATTCTTACTGCAGCTTTTTGTTGGGTTGTTATTGGCTTTAGGTGCATTGCTGCAGTTGAATCCCAAGCACAGATAGCATAGGTGAGGTATGGATATGTAAGTGAATGGTATAGTGTGAGAAGGGCAGTTTGCGGCACGTAGTATCGTATCTTGGAGAGGATCCCCACTGTTTGGATACTTTTATTGTTATGTATTGGATATGGGTGCTGAAATTTAGGTTGTTTTCGAGGTATAGGCCAAGGAATTTGCCCTCATTATGTCTGGCAATTAGAATGTTGTCGATCTTAATGTTAAGTTGCACAACATCTGCTCTGCTACCAAACATAATATAGTAGGTTTTGTCAGTGTTAAGTGTAAGTTTATTGGCTGTCATCCAAGTCGATATTTTGAGCAGCTCCTCATTAACAATGGTGTTGAGGGTGGCAAGATTAGGGTGGGAGATGACATAAGTCAGGTGTTGGGATATGTTTGGAAGAACACTGATGTAAATGAGGAAGAGCAGGGGTCCAAGGACACTTCCCTGCAGAACTCCAGTATCAAGTGGCTGTATTGATGAGGCTGTGTCTTTAATGGTGACATACTGATACCTATTAGAAAGGTAGGATTTGAAATATGCAAGCGCATGGCCTCTTGTACCATAGTGGTCAAGTTTGTGGAGTAGGATGCCATGGTCAGCTGTGTCAAACGCTTTTCTTAGGTCAAAAATTCCTAGCGGATACCCCTTATGTTCCAATGCTGTGTAAAGCAGGTCTAGCATTTTTATAATTGCATCATTAGTGCTTTTATTTTTCCTGAATCCAAATTGGCAGGGGTTGAGTATGTTTTGTGCCCTTATAAATGAATACAGTCTCCTGTGCACGAGTTTCTTGAATATTTTGGATAGCAATGGTAAGTTTAATATTGGCCTATAGTTGTTTACATCTGTAGGGTCACCACCTTTATGTATTGGTGTAACCCTTGCTGTCTTGAGTAGTGTTGGGAAAGTGCTAGTTTCTAGTGACTTGTTAAAAAGTAATGTAATAGCATGCGAAAGGACATGGGCCACTCGCTTGTACAATAATGGTGGGATGTGAGACAGATTCCCTGAGTTATTTTTAAGTGACTTTATGATTGTGGTGACTTCCGTGGGCTCAGTTGGTACAAGATAGAAGGAATTCGGGAAATTCCCATCTAGGTAGTCCCCGGCACGGGCATTGGTATGTGGGATTTTACTGGCGAGATTAGATCCTATGTTTGAGAAGAAGTCGTTTATCTTGTTAGCTGTATCAGTGGGATGCAGTGGTGTTTCATGAGGTTTAGTTAGGACAATATTCTTGTTTTTTTTTTAAGTTTGTGGGTCCCCAGAATCTGGGAAAGTGTTTTCCAGGTCTTTTTTTATATCTCCTCTTGTGTCATTGAATCTGCTGGAGCAGTACAGTTGTTTGGCTTTCTTTATTACTTTGGTGAGAACTGATGAATAGTGTTTAAGAATATCTTTGTGTATTAAGCCCTGTCTATATTGCTTTTCATATTGGTGTTTCTTATCAATGGATTTCAGAATGCTGCTAGTTAGCCATGGGCAACCGAGCCATTTATTCGTGATCTGTTTTGTTTTTATAGGACTATGTTTGTTGTATTGTCTAAGTATTTTGTTAAGAAAAATGTCTGTCCAATCGTCAGTACCATTGGCATTGGAGAATTCTGTAAGCCAGTCAACAGTCTCTAGGTCTAGACCTCGTCATGGAGTCTAAATGAAACTTTGTTGTATTCGAGTGGTGGCTTACTAATGTTTGTTAAGAGGAAGGTTGAGTAGTGGTCAGTAGTGCTGTCTGTGATTATCCCTGAAATGAGATGGTGAATGGAGGAAATAAGGAGCATCAATCACCCACAGTTAAGTAACCCTTCTAGTTATAGCAGACTGATACTGGCCAGTTAGGTATGTTGTAATTGGATAGGTTGTGGGTGATCCAGCTATATCAAGTGACCACCACAGAATATCTGGTAAGTGGTGGTATTATATACAAGTGTTTTTTCCTTGATGGATATATACGTGTGTAACCTACCCCCCCTTCATTCAGTCAAACCAATATAATCTATACAGTCCACAGTTCATTAGTAGTGCCGTACTTGTGGGTGCTATCCTCGTCATACTGGTCTCGGATAGATGTGGGTAAGATTGTGAGGTCGAAGGAGCCACCTGCAGTGACCAGGGGTGGCTAAGTTTTCTCACATGTCTACACGGGGTAACTACTGTAAACAATATATGGTTGTTGCCTCCCAATGAGATTATGTGTATGAATGTAACGTTGAGGTACATACAGGTAACCCCATATAAAATTTTCCATAACACCCAAGATTAGTTTTTCACGGTCTCGAGAAGCTGTAACCAAAGAGATTCAGTGGCTGATGCTTCTAATTTTATATCTTGTCTAATTCAACAATTTAAATTGTTTCTGACATACATCGCTACTCCACCACCCTTCCTGTTGACCCTATCAGTGTGAAATAATTTATAGTCTTGTGACATTCAGAAGGCATTTCTCTATCTTTCAGATTGAGACAGGTCTCTGTTATATCAATAATATCTATGCTTCCTGCACTTACAGTTAATCTTAGCTCATCTAATTTCTTACACTCCTTCTATTAGTATAGTAAACCTTAAGGGAGCTAGTCTCTCGCTGCCCTCTGCTGTCTCCCTTTGTTTGCTGACCTGATCCCTTGTCTTTATCTGTAACTTTATGATGAATGTCTTTTAAACATTTTCTGTTTTCAACCCTACCACACACACCCATACCTCTATCTTCTATCAGTTTAAAATCCTAGACATGTCAGCAATGGCCCTCTCGATCAAGTTGGCAAATGCTACCACTCCTTCTCCAGAGAGATGTAATCGATCCCTTGCATACATATCATGTTTGCCATAAAAGTTGTCCCAGTTGTCAATGAATGGGAATGTAAGTTCCTTGCAGTGTCTGTCTAGCCAGCAGTTTGCACCAATTGCCCTAGACAACCATTCATTGCCCACTCCTCTCTAGGCAAGATGCTACATATGATTGGGACCCCTTAGACCTAATTAAATCTATAGCTGACCTGTACTTACCTAGCAGCTCTTCTCTCCTACCCTTCCCGATATAATTTCCACCAGCACTGAGACAGATAATGGGTTTGTTCCCATTACCCGACATGATATTATCCAACCTGTTGATTATGTCACCAACACCAGCTCCAGGGAAGCACTCTCATCTTATTCCTATTACAGAAAACACGGTCCATATATCTTACCTGTGAGTCATCAACCACAAGAATTCGTTTACCTCTATTAGCAGGGAAGGTAGTACCTTTACTTGCACTGGCCTCTGAAGTGCACTCATCCTGAAGAACAGAGAAGCGATTTCCTACCTTCAAATCTTCTCTCTTAACTTCCCTTATTTTGATGCTCCTCCCATTACTGGGAACCACTAGCCACTTGTAGCAGGTGCTGGACTGCACCTCACTGCTGGTAGCCTCATTCCCCTCAACCACTCCAGCCACCTCACACTCACTCCCTAACCCATCGAGGTGAACCTTCAGTCTCCTAATTTTCTCCTGGAGAAGTAGGACCTTCTCCTTCAACACACTAACCTCAGATTTTAAAACACTGCACAAGCAAGCAATGGCTTTGTAACCCCCCACAATAATCCCCAAAGCAGCTCAAGACCTGTGACCACCGACCACTGGCAGACAGTGGGAGAATTGCACGGCCTTCAACATAAGAAAGAAGAGACACTGCAGGAGGCCTACTAGCCCATGCGAGGCAGGTTCAAGTTACCCACCCATGTGCAACAGTTGGGTATCTTTATTGATGAAACGTTTCGTTCACACAATAGGCTTCTTCAGTCAAATACAAAAACAGCAGGTGTAGTAGCTTCTTCAGTCAAATATAAAGGGAGGAGCAGTAATGAAATAAATGTGATGTAATCAGTCCATCAACCTTGGAGGAAAAGTATTTGAGGTGGTCAGTCCCTCAACCTGGAGAAGAGTCCATGGTCTGGAAGGATATTGCTCCAGTCCATGGAGCTGAACTCTTCCTCAGGCTGAGGGATTGACCACCTCAAATACTTTTCCTCCAGTGGTGATGGACTGATTACATCATCTTCATTTCATTACTACTGCTGCCTTTGTATTTGACCGAAGAAGCCAACTGTGTAGGCGAAACGTTTCATCAATAAAGATACCCAGTTATTATATGTGTGTCTTAATCTTCAACTTGGTATTTTATATAATTTTCAACAATATGTTGCCTTATTGTATTAAGTGTTTTAACAAGTAAAAGAAAACAGGGATCTCACCTGCACCAGTCTTCTGATAATCTCGTATCTATGGAGAGAGTTTAGTCCCGCCAGGTCAAATATTGTGTGCAGTAATAATCGCTGGTGGGAACCAAGTGTCTTCAGGTTCTTCAAGAAGGTGTAGTGAGCATCGACGGTGACAGTGTGGTGGGTTGCCTCTCCTTCGCTAGTTACTCCCTCAGTCCAGCTCTTTTGCGCCTTCATGGGATTTACTTTAATGGGATGTATCTCTGTGAGATCAGGAATCTTATATTCAGTCTTGGTTGGGAAGGTACCATTAGAGTTAGTTTTTGTTAGTCTCTCACTGGCTGGGTGCACTTTATAGGCAGGTCGCGTGTCTCGTGAACACCGCTTGCCAAATTTCTTTGTCTTGCTCCAGGAAGTTTTGCGCTCACATTCGCTAAAAATGTGAATGGAACAGCGGTATCTGGATCCTCCTGAGGAATGCCTAGGCTGCGAGACCGACTCCACAGTTAAACAATGTGTCTTAGAAGTCGTCAGGAGGTAGGCGAGCTCGTCGTATGCGTTCACCTCCGTAGAAAACTTGTATTTACGTAAAATTACATTTTCATCAGATTTGGTTTTATGTCTCGAATCTGAATTTTGATTATCAATTAGCACACTTCTATCACTGACAAACTGACTGACATGGGCATCAACATATGCCCTAGCTGTCACGCTGACACCATACATGCCAATGTATAAGTCAAAGGGATTATATGAGGTAGTAAGTAACTCGTCATAATTCAGACGAGGCGAGAAGTCAAAATCAGTACCTGGTTCACTGACGTTTGGTAAAAGTAATGTAGAAGGTGTGTTGTAATGGTCACTGAGGTGTTGAAGACGTGTATCGTCCCTGAAGGGTTGACGTGACTTCCTCACGTCCTCCAGGGGCAAAGAGTTGAGGAGGATGGGAGGTTCTATTGGCAGTTCAAGTTCTACTAGGACTCCTAGGGCTAGGAGAGAGAGGTAGATGGCCAGAAGGTGGGTCGTCCGCACCTTCCACACAGTCCTCATGTTGTAGTGAAGCACCTGGCCTCTTGCTGGAAGATATAGTGAAGCGCCTGGCCTTTTGCTGGAAGATGTTGTAGTTAAGCGCCTGGCCTCTTGCTGGAAGATGTTGAAGTGAGGCACCTGGCCTCTTGCTGGAAGATGTTGTAGTGAAGGACCTGGCCTCTTGCTGTAAGATGTAGTGAAGCACCTGGCCTCTTGCTGGAAGATGTAGTGAAGCACCTGGCCTCTTGCTGGAAGATGTAGTGAAGCGCCTGGTCTCTTGCTGGAAGATGTTGTATTGAAGCACCTGGCCTCTTGCTGGAAGGTGTTGTAGTGAAGCACCTGATCTCTTGCTGGAAGATGTAGTGAAGTACCTGGGCTATTGCTGGAAGATGTAGTGAAGAACCTTGCCTCTTGTTGGATGATGTAGTGAAGCACCTGGCCTCTTACTGGAAGATGTTATAGTAAAGCACCTGGCCTCTTGCTGGAAGATGCAGTGAAGCACCTGACCACTTGCTGTAAGTTGTAGTCAAACACCTGGCCTCTTGCTGGAAGATGTTGTAGTTAAGCGCCTGGCCTCTTGCTGGAAGATGTTGTAGTAAAGCACCTGGCCTCTTGCTGGAAGATGCAGTGAAGCACCTGACCACTTGCTGTAAGTTGTAGTCAAACACCTGGCCTCTTGCTGGAAGATGTTGTAGTGAAGCACCTGGCCTCTTGCTGGAAGATGTTGTAGTGAAGCGCCTGGCCTCTTGCTAGAAGATGTTGTAGTGAAGTGCCTGGCCTCTTGCTGGAAGATGTTGTAGTGAAGCACCTGGCCTCTTGCTGGAAGATGTAGTGAAGTGCCTGGCCTCTTGCTGGAAGATGTTGTAGTGAAGCCCCTGGCTTCTTGCTGGAAGATATTGTAGTGAAGCACCTGGCCTCTTGCTGGAAGATGTTGTATTGAAGCACCTGGCCTCTTGCTGGAAGATGTAGTAAAATGCCTGACCTCTTGCTGGAAGGTGTTGTAGTGAAGCACCTGACCTCTTGCTGGAAGGTGTTGTAGTGAAGCAAATGGCCTCTTGCTGGAAGCTGTAGTGAAGCACCTGGCCTCTTGCTGGAAGATGTTGTAGTGAAGCACCTGGGCTCTTGCTGGAAGATGTTGTAGTGAAGCACCCGGCCTCTTGCTGGAAGATGTAGTGAAGCACCTGCCTCTTGCTGGAAGATGTAGTGAAGCGCCTGGCCTCTTGCTGGAAGATGTAGTGAAGCACCTGGCCTCTTGCTGGAAGATGTAGTGAAGCACCTGGCCTCTTGCTGGAAGGTGTTGTAGTGAAGCACCTGGTCTCTTGCTGGAAGATGTAGTGAAGCACCTGGCCTCTTGCTGGGAAATGTAGTGAAGCGCCTGGCCTCTTGCTGGAAGATGTAGTGAAGCACCTGGCCTCTTGCTGGAAGATGTTGTAGTGAAGTGCCTGGCCTCTTGCTGGAAGATGTTGTAGTGAAATGCCTGGCCTCTTGCTGGAAGATATTGTAGTGAAGCACCTGGCCTCTTGCTGGAAGATGTTGTAGTGAAGCGCCTGGCCTCTTGCTGGAAGATGTTGTAGTGAAGCACCTGACCTCTTGCTGGAAGATGTTGTAGTGAAGCGCCTGGCCTCTTGCCGGAAGATGTTGTAGTGAAGCGCCTGGCCTCTTGCTGGAAGATGTTGTAGTGAAGCGCCTGGCCTCTTGCTGGAAGATGTAGTGAAGCGCCTGGCCTCTTGCTGGAAGATGTTGTAGCGAAGCACCTGGCCTCTTGCTGGAAGATGTTGTAGTGAAGCACCTGGCCTCTTGCTGGAAGATGTTGTAGTGAAGCGCCTGGCCTCTTGCTGGAAGATGTTGTAGTGAAGCACCTGGCCTCTTGCTTGAAGATGTTGTAGTGAAGCGCCTGGCCTCTTGCCAGAAGATGTTGTAGTGAAGCGCCTGGCCTGTTGCTGGAAGATGTAGTGAAGCGCCTGGCCTGTTGCTGGAAGATGTTGTAGTGAAGCGCCTGGCCTCTTGCTGGAAGATGTAGTGAAGCACCTGGCCTCTTGCTGGAAGATGTTGTAGTGAAGCACCTGGCCTCTTGCTGGAAGATGTTGTAGTGAAGCGCCTGGCCTGTTGCTGGAAGATGTAGTGAAGCGCCTGGCCTGTTGCTGGAAGATGTTGTAGTGAAGCGCCTGGCCTCTTGCTGGAAGATGTAGTGAAGCACCTGGCCTCTTGCTGGAAGATGTTGTAGTGAAGCACCTGGCCTCTTGCGGAAGATGTGTAGTGAAGCGCCTGGCCGTTGCTGGAAGATGTAGTGAAGCGCCTGGCCTGTTGCTGGAAGATGTTTAGTGAAGCGCCTGGCTCTTGCTGAAGATGTAGTGAAGCACCTGGCCTCTTGCTGGAAGATGTTGTAGTGAAGCACCTGGCCTCTTGCTGGAAGATGTTGTAGTGAAGCGCCTGGCCTGTTGCTGGAAGATGTAGTGAAGCGCCTGGCCTGTTGCTGGAAGATGTTGTAGTGAAGCGCCTGGCCTCTTGCTGGAAGATGTAGTGAAGCACCTGGCCTCTTGCTGGAAGATGTTGTAGTGAAGCACCTGGCCTCTTGCTGGAAGATGTTGTAGTGAAGCGCCTGGCCTGTTGCTGGAAGATGTAGTGAAGCGCCTGGCCTGTTGCTGGAAGATGTTGTAGTGAAGCGCCTGGCCTCTTGCTGGAAGATGTAGTGAAGCACCTGGCCTCTTGCTGGAAGATGTAGTGAAGCACCTGGCCTCTTGCTGGAAGATGTTGTAGTGAAGCGCCTGGCCTGTTGCTGGAAGATGTAGTGAAGCGCCTGGCCTGTTGCTGGAAGATGTTGTAGTGAAGCACCTGGCCTCTTGCTGGAAGATGTTGTAGTGAAGCGCCTGGCCTCTTCGAAGATGTGGGCTCGTCCAGCAGTATTTAAAAACGTATATATATTTAAATGGTCCAGTCACTCTTTCACTCTGCAAATATTAAAGAACAATATGAGCTTTCACTTAATTATTAAAATCACACAGATTATATACACATGCTATATTAAAGTCACACAGCTCCTGGAACATTTAATGTTAATACCTTATATATAAAATATTATCATCTATTAATACTCTGATCTTCATGGGGCACGATTATAACAGCAGCCACATCTGTCACACACATTAACTGTTTACCTGGAGTTTTCCGGGGGTCAACGCCCCCGCGGCCCGGTCTGTGACCAGGCCTCCTGGTGGATCAGATCCTGATCAACCAGGCTGTTACTGCTGGCTGCACGCAATCCAACGTACGAGCCACAGCCCGGCTGGTCAGGTACCGACTTTTGGTGCTTGTCCAGTGCCTGCTTGAAGACAGCCAGGGGTCTATTATGTGTGCTGGGAGGCAGTTGAACAGTCTCGGGCCCCTGACACTTATTGTATTGTCTCTTAACGTGCTAGTGACACCCCTGCTTTTCATTGGAGGGATGTTGCATCGTCTGCCGAGTCTTATGCTGTAGTTGTGAGTGATTTTCGTGTGCAAATTAGTGTTAGTGTGCAGCGATACTCCAGCGTAGATAGAGCAAGCAACCTGAAGAGTGTCATCATGGGTTTGGCATCCCTAGTTTTGAAGGTTCTCATTATCCATCCTGTCATTTTACTAGCAGATGCGATTGATACAATATTATGGTCCCTGAAGGTGAGATTCTCCGACATGATCACTCCCAGGTCTTTGACGTTGGTTTCTCGCTCTATTTTGTGGCCGGAATTTGTTTTATACTCTGATGTAGTTTTAATTTCCTCATGTTTACCATATCGGAGTAATTGAAATTTCTCATCGTTGAACTTCATATTGTTTTCTGCAGCCCATTGAAAGATTTGGTTGATGTCCGCCTGGAGCCTTGCAGGGTCTGCAATGGAAGACACTGTCATGCAGATTCGGGTGTCATCTGCAAAGGAAGACACGGTGCTGTGGCTGACATCCTTGTCTATGTCGGATATGAGGATGAGAAACAAGATGGGAGCGAGCACTGTGTGATAAAACACGTTATCAAGGGTATGTGACGTTAAGAAAGGAGTCCATGATAACCTTTCAGTGTTTATTAGCAGTCTGACTGCTGCATACTCCAGTATGGGCCTGACATACGCGGTGTACAGTGTCTTGAATGATTCCTTACTAAGGTATCGGAATGCTGTTCTCAGGTTTGCCAGGCGCCCATATGCTGCAGCAATTATCTGATTGATGTGTGCTTCCGGAGACATGCTCGGTGCTATACTCACCCCAAGATCTTTCTCCTTGAGTGAGGTTTGCAGTCTTTGGCCACCTAGACTATACTCTGTCTGTGGTCTTCTGTGCCCTTCCCCTATCTTCATGACTTTGCATTTGGCAGGATTAAATTCGAGAAGCCATTTGCTGGACTAGGTGTCCAGTCTGTCCAGGTCTCTTTGAAGTCCTGCCTGGTCCTCATCAGATTTAATTCTCCTCATTAACTTCACATCATCTGCAAACAGGGACACTTCTGAGTCTAACCCTTCCATCATGTCGTTCACATATAGCAAAAATAGCACTGGTCCTAGGACCGACCCCTGTGGGACCCCGCTCGTCACAGATGCCCACTGTGATACATCATTACGTACCATGACTCGTTGTTGCCTCCCTGTCAGGTATTCTCTGATCCATTGCAGTGCCCTTCCTGTTATATGCGCCTGATGCTCTAGCTTCTGCACTAATCTCTTGTGAGGAACTGTGTCAAAGGCCTTCTTGCAGTCCAAGAAGTTGCAATCAACCCACCCCTCTCTCTTGTGTCTTACTTCTGTTATTTTATCATAAAACTCCAGAAGGTTTGTGACACAGGATTTGCCTTCCGTGAATCCGTGCTGGTTGGCATTTATACTCTTGTTCCGTTCCAGGTGTTCCACCACTCTCCTCCTGATAATCTTCTCCATAATTTTGCATACTATACACGTCAATGACACAGGTCTATAGTTTAGTGCCTCTTTTCTGTCTCCTTTTTTAAAAATGGGAACTACATTTGCCGTCTTCCATACCTCAGGTAGTTGCCCAGTTTCCAGGGACATGTTGAAGATTGTGGTAAGTGGCACGCACAACATATCTGCTCCCTCTCTAAGGACCCACGGGGAGATGTTGTCCGGTCCCATTGCCTTTGAGGTATCGATGTCCCTTAGCAGTTTCACCTCCTCATCTGTATGTATGTCTTCCAACACTTGTTGGTGTATTCCTTGTTGGTGTCCCCATCTGGTCTGTCCCCCCAGAGTCCTTCCTGTCTCTACTGTAAATACTTCCTTAAATCTCGTGTTGAGCTCCTCACATACCTCTTGATCGTTTCTTGTGAGTTCTCCACCTTCTTTCCTCAGCCTTATCACCTGGTCCTTGACTGTTGTCTTCCTCCTAATGTGGCTATACAGCAGTTTCGGGTCAGATTTGACTTTCGATGCTATGTCGTTTTCATACTGTCGCTGGGCCTCCCTCCTTATCTGTGCATACTCGTTTCTGGCTCTTCTACTAATCTCCTTGTTTTCCTGGGTCCTATGCCTCCTGTACCTTTTCCATTCTCTGTTGCACTTAGTTTTTGCCTCCCTACACCTTCGGGTAAACCAAGGACTCGTTTTGGTCTTCCTATTATTTCTGTTTCCCTTGGGAACAAAACTTTCCTCTGCCTCCTTGCACTTTGTTGCCACATATTCCATCATCTCGTTTACTGATTTTACTACCATTTCTCTGTCCCACTGAACCTCCTGC